AATATGAAAATAAAGAAAAAAAACAGGTAAATAAAAAAAAAAAATAAGAAAAGAAAATAAAAATAAAATAAAAGGCATCGGTGGAATAGTAAACGTTTAGTTTAACCAAAGAAAAAAAAAAATTATCACTAGATATCATCAAAAAAAGAGGGACACAACGAGAACAAGTACTAAAAAAAAAAGTCAAAATAAAGCAGATACCCAAGATTAGAATATAAGTTGTGGGCTCCACCCTGTGACATGACGGAAAATAACACGGGTTAAAAGGCAAACTGATACCGCAATGAAGGCGAAAAAACGAGTAGTATGATTGGCTGTAATACTAAATCCTCGTATCGTCCAAAGGAGAAAAACAAAGTCCACCACCACCACCAGAGGGATAGGGATACGCCATACCAAGAAGAGCAGGTATCCTAGTTTTGCAGTATGGGCAAGACTTACAGATTTTGCCCATGTTATCATCACTGCATCATCTTCCCCGCCGTCAACACCGCGTTTTAACTGTACCCCGAGCCAAATAGCAGCTACTAGAGAAAGCAAATATTCCGTACACGCGTATAAAAATAGTGCAGGCCAAGTGCTCCAGTACATCATTAGAGGAATCATGTCTGGCCGAAGATTTCTCACAATTTGAAGACTTTCCAATGTACTTGTGTTCTCGATTATAGATTTTTCTAAGTAAACACTCTTGCGTTGCAAGAGAGCGTATACTGATGTGGTCCGCACCACGTAAGCCTCAACCAAGCATGAAATCAATGCCGCAAGTAAAAGTGATGGTAAAATATTTGTTTGATTAAAGACTACATGAATCCAAGCACGTCTTTCCAAAATAGCAACATCTATCCACTTCTGAACACAAGCAAACTCATAGTATTTGTCGCAGCAGCGACCACACGTTGGACATTTTTCCACCATCTCTGTCTCCGGATGGACAATTCGCGCAATATCGAACCCACACTCAATGCATCGAGGCATACTTTTACATGACTAAAGAACAGAAACCGAAAAAAAAAGAAAATGTTAAAGAAATGCATTGATTAAAGAATCTCCTCATGAATTAGAGCGTGTATGAGAGAGACAGAAAGTAGGAGTAAGTTATTTTTTGTTCAGAGATAACATGATGCTTTTCTCCCAATACCCAGAAAGAAAGAAAGGGGGTTGCAGGAAGAAAAAAAAAAAAAAGTGAGAACAAAAAAAGAAACAGAACAAAGAAATAAATAGTTTAGACAAAGTACTTTTTTTGAAGGAAAAAAAAATATTCACAAAAATATACCCAAAACCCCCCGAAACGCTTCTCAAAATAAAAATAAGACACCTGCTTCAGGTTTCCCCCACATCGTCAGAATTATGTGCAGGTTGAAGAGGAATATGCTCTCGAACCACACGCGCTGGTACAACAAGACTCGCTAATTTTGTGATTTTGGAAGTGTCCTCGCGCACTACTACACCCCCAAATTCACCTCCAATAGTCCAGCCACAAAATATTGGAAAGTACTTATGCTCGTACTTCTTAAGAAAAATACGACTTTGATAGACGACCGAGGAATCAAAAAATCTTCCCGTAGAGTTTTCATTGTCTTCGTCTGCAGGGGTACCAAATGTATTACTCGGTGTATCTTCAAACAAAGGTAGTGAAAGTGATCTACAGAGAACTGGTGCCTCCACTGTTTGTGGTGCAGCAGCAACAGTATCTTTATCTTCCTCTGGATCATACATTATTATATTTTGTCCTGCACGACCGTTCACTGGTTTTGATAGATAGTGCCCTGATATAATTTCCTTGGTACGCTGAAAACTGGCAGGAACCATATTTGGATGGTTTGGTGCCAAGGCATACATAAATGGAAGGATAGCTTTACTCCCTGTAAGAGTTTTCCATAACGGCTCCAAAACACGTATATTGTCATTCAAAAGAATATCAGATAATGACGGTTTTTGGTTCAATTCATTTGATTCCTGAGATTTTTGCTCCGAATACTGGTGTAAAATAGTGTCCCAGGCCCACGTTTTCCAAACCAAGAGAACTTTTTCATCCTCAAGATCCACAATTACAGGATGATCTTTTGACACAATGAGAGATTCCCCATCTGTAGCAGAGCTTGCGTAACGAAAATCTGTCAATTTGACGCACAATTTTGTTCTGAAACCTCCTTCCTCTGCAGCATTCATTGCATACAAAGCAGTATACCTTTCCTCATCATTATCATCTATCATAAAGTGAATTAACTTGTGGGGCGGACATACAAAATTATTTTGTAGCAAACACTTAAAGTAATTCACCATCTTTGAATAGAGAAAAGAACCTGTAGACATCCCAGATTTAATTCCATAATGTCGCGCAATTTTATCCTGGGTGTCGCCACACTCTAACATAGCAGCTGATGAGTCACAGTTATATTCTAACATGACAATATCCTTTCCATCGTACCCAAAGTCAAAGCGACCACCCATTGGAGGAATAATATCAAAGGATCTTCGAAGTTGTGGATGCAATTCTTTTGAGACACCAAAATAGTGTACAAGTATATGTTCAGAGTCTGGATCATTAAGAATTCGACGTGTAGCTTCCATTGCAATCTCGTGTAATGTGTTTGCGGCGAAACGAAAGCGACACCACATGTCATAATCCATAAGATAATATCCATCAGGGACGTCATTTTCTGCAGCGCAAGCATTTTCTCCCATATTTCCATCAATCGTTAGTGACCTTTTAAGAAAGTAATCACAACGTTCAGTGGGATTTGTCCATGGCAGTTTCAGTTCTCGTTTCACATGGTATCGTACAATATGACCAGAGCTTAGGATATGCCGGTATCTGTCGGGTAAATCACCTCGAGTAAAGTCATAAGGTGGTGCTTCCACCTTTATCCAACCAAGTAACGATTCCTCATCGTGATATTCAACAATATTGTCGTCTCTTATTTTTCGTTCAATCTGTCGACTGTAATTTTTTTCTGATGGCCAACGATTAAACTCATAATTTTGATCTGCTAGTCCAACCCAGTTGTCTGAAATATGAACAACGATGCCCACGTGTCCTGTTGGCATTGAAGAAGAACGTCCCCATACCATTATATCCCCAACAGATGGCAATGATGTCGTGTCTCCATTGACGTGGCGGACTACAGTCACCGCATTGCCATCGGGTATAGTTGTGATGGGATCCTTCGCCTGCCACACATCCTCGGCCGTCGGAACAGAGGAAAGCCAAAGTCCCTTTGACATGACCAAATATCGACGCACAAATTCTAGAGACAGCCACTTGTACCCAAGAGTATCATACATACCAGTGGTCAACGTGGAATGGGGAATTCCAATGCGCCGAAGACTGGGGGCAACAGAGACCTGTCGGCTCGCAAAGCCCCTTTCACCATTAGAAAAAACAGGAACACCGTCATCAGTCACTCCCAATACCTTTCCAAATGGAACAACTTCATCCTCGTGATGAACACAGTGTTCTGTATCGTTGACGGGCATAAATACAATCTGATAGCTTTGATGTGATGATGTGCTATAATGTGCGAAAAGTCCTTGTCACTGTAATAAGGAATACCAAATATTACCAAAGGATTAATATATAAATATATAATAAATATATTTATGATATATAATAAAGAAAAATAATGAAATAAAATGAAAAAAGAAGAGGCTTAAAAGGGGGAAAAAAAAACGGTGGAAAAGAAGCATATAACAAAACAAGAGAAACAAAACAAAAAAGACAAGAAGAAACACTGATGCAATGAGAGTACAAAGAAAGAAAAAATAAAGAATATAAAAAATAAATGAAAGAAATAGAAGCAAACTAAAAAAAAAAAGAGAGAACAACAACAAAAATCGTGTCTTTTCTTTAGATTTGTGGTTAACCACACATTCCTCCTCCTTCTACGACGCACTCAAGGCTGCTTCGCGGTACAGCAGGTATCCAGCAACCGTAAAATAAACGGCAAAAAAACCAATGAGCAACGTCCCTGCAAAATCTGTCAGTTGTGCTGTGACTTTCCTTGAGTACACAACTTCCGCATTACCAAAGCATTTGGCCAATATACCAGGCTTATCCAACTTTTCTGTTTGATGTACCATTTAAGCACTTTTTTTTTTTTTCTTTTGTACTTCTTAGCCCTTTTGTTGGAGAGAGAGAGATCAGGGAAAGCTTCGTCCAAAGATATAATAATAGTAATAGTAATAATAATAAATACTGTCCTAGACTAAGAGGCGAAAAAAAGAGAGAGAAAAAAAGAACACCTCTTTTCAATCGACAAAAGGGAAGTCAGAGTATATGCATGAGTATGAGTTAATCAGTGTGTGTGTGTGTGTGTGAAAGAGAAAGAGAAAGAAAGAAACCATGAATATGCACGCAATACAATCGTCTGAGAATAACAAAAAGAAAAACAAGTAGTAAACAACGGTTTTGAAATACCTAGAATGGCGCAAGATATACGCAGCCTATACAAAAAAAAAGAAAAAAAAAAAACATCTAAATAGTGTCACGGAAATCCACCAACTTCTTGGTATAAGAAGTAACCTGACAAGGCAAAGTAAATTGCAACAAGGGTTACAACAAACGCACAGATGAAATCCTTTGCACGTGTTGAGGTACTGCTTTGGTGGTTGAACACAAGAGGCGAGTTGTCACGTGGACTGTTAAGACTCACTCGATCTGCCCTCTTTGGGCTTTTCCGCTCCTTTAATGCTGCTGCCGCGCGTGCTCGTGCCACGGCATTGTCGATGAGTTTCTGCACCTCAGCCATATCTGGTGGGGGAAGTGTTGGCACCTTGTCTGCTGTCCTATTACTTGCTCCCTGCTTGTGAAAATCAAATGGTGTGCGAGGCATTTTCGTCTCGCTTCACTGACTATAGAAAGAAAATGTAAACAAAAAGAGAAGTAAGGCAAACAAGCAGTTATCTTTTTTTTTTTCCCCTTCATTCTTTTCGTCTAGAATTGAAAACAAAGTGAGAATTCAGTTCTGCAAGACACCAAAGTAAGAATAGGGAAATAATGGAAAGCAAAACAGCAAACTTTCGAATATGTATACGCACTACACACTACAAAAAAAAAAAAAAAAAAA